TAGATGTAAGTTTCAGCGGGCATGGCGCCCGAAGAAAAGAAGAGGCCCGGCAAACTGCCGTAGAAGAGGGCTGCAACAAATGGCTTATCATCCTCTGGATGGGAAATCTATCTAGAGCATGGGAAGTCATTCTTGTTACTATTTTGTCGCTATGCTCGCTTATAGTATGTAGTAGTAGTACTTTTTTTTTTTTTTGGCCGATGTCGGCCCACCGTTATATTGGGCAAACCGCGGTTTCTGTTAGTGTTTCGAAAAATGAATTACGGATTGTGTTAGAGTTGCGAAGTTGAGATTTCGAATTTCAATTAGAATTACAAACAGTTGTAGTACTTGGTTTGAATTAGCGTTGCGATGAAATGACGATCGTGTTTGCTTCAGTTTCGCGATTATTTTCAGTATTTTTTTTATCATGAATTATTAAAAATTCTTGATTAAAATGAAAATTAAAATTTGTTGCATTTTGTTTTACTTAAAGTTGTGTAAGAATTGTTTTCATCTAGAAATAGTTATTATTTTCACTGAATTTGTTTCAATAATTAGCGTTGCGATATATTTCATCGGATCTGTTTTAATTACTTTTTTAATTAGTGTTGCGTTAACGAATGATCGCGTTTGTACACGTAGTGTTGCGTCTATGAAATGCCCAAACTTCTACTGAATCATCCAATGCAGCCAAGTCAGTTGCATCGAAGTGGTCGTGCATCACTAGCCTCGAATATGGCTGCACCGTACGTCTCAATATTAGTGTTGCGTGTCTTGAAGCATGAGTGCATAGATTAGTATTTATTAACGTTGCGTCAATTATGAAAGCATCTTACTTTCGCGAATTTTTCATTTTCTTCTTTTTTTTTTTTTATTTATTGCATATTATATTCTCCTTTTTTTTTTTTTTTTAATTGTATTTTAAATATGAGAAAGCACTCTTCGCGATTTGCTTTGAGTCATTTCTATTTTATTGCTGGATTTAACAAGTTAGTGTTGCGAAATAGAAAAATATTCCACTCACGGTTTGTTCTTCGGGATTGTATCGAGTGGATCGCCCTTCTGGCTGCTAGATCTATTTCTTTTTCAGCACCCCTTAAAGCGTTTGTCAATGGAAATACTGTTGAGTAATATATTCGTTAAAAAATATTCATAAAATATTTTCCATTACATATTATGCATAATTTCATGTGTGTTACATTTGGAGAAAAGTAAATGAAACGTTTGAAATTTTTTAATAAATCAGAACATGCAAAATAATTAATAAAATATGAAGTTTGTAACATTTTCTACAACATGTTGCAAATATATATTGTTAAGAATTCAGTTTGTTACGTTGCAGATTTTAATAATGATTGTTCGCTATTAGAGTTACAATTCTTTCGCCTGTAATATTGTCGATTATTTGCACATAA